TATTTATAGTCTTTTGAGATGTAATCATTGCTTTTTTTTTCAAAAGTATCCCTATTGATAAATGACTTTATATTTATTATAGAATATTTAATATAAGTAAATATAAAAAAATAGGGTTAGTTTAAAAGTAGGTAACTACTTTATTGGGGGTGAGATTAGGTTAAAAATACCTTACATTTTTTAACGGAGTAAATATACATTATAATTAACGTTTAGAAATTTCAATGACTCTTAAAAAATATTTATATTAAAGATGAGTATTTTAGTCTAAAATATATAATTTAATGGTTTACTAACGATTGGATGGATAGAACTAAAATTTTTAAAAATAGAGGAGAAGTATGTGTTATGTAAATTTTGATTTTATGAAAGATTTATATAGATTTTAAAAGTAGAAGTGTGGGCCTTGTAATTGAATTAAAATAAACATTAGAAAGAAATGTTGGTATATTTTACATTTTAAATTAAAATATAACATCCTTTTGATTCTTTGTCCATTTATTATCTCTCTTTCCATTAGTGCTCTCATGTCCAAGTATTCCTCAACTCGAAGGATACTTGTAGAGTAAGGGACAATAGGAAGGAGAGAAAATAAGAGAAGAGAAAAAAAAAGTGAAGGAATGCAATTTTTTCTCATTGTGTATAGCTGAACAAAAGAAAATAGGGAGAAAAGAAAAGTTATTAATTTTATATGGACAATAATTGTAACATCCTGAAAATTAATGCCCTGGTAATTAAACTAATTAAGGGTAATTAAGTAGAATTATTATGGTATGTAGTTAGAGAGAATTAATGAATGCTTTTGAGATATGTTTTTAGCCTTAAGTTTGTGCTCGGAGTGAAGTCGGGTCACTTAAATATCAAAAAGGGAGGAAAAAAATAAAGGAGAATACCTCTGTGTTAGATGCTGCAGTGTGTGTTTCGTGTGTTGTGGCACATTTGGCCAAAAAGATCATTCATATCAAATAATTCATTTTCAAAAATATTAATTAATTAATAGACAACTATAGAAAAAAGATTTTCCTTGATTACCTTAAACTTTCAAGAGATCAAAGGTTTACCCCTCAAGTTAATACTTTCAAGCTTGCTCTCAAGCTCAAACCAGTGCACAGACGATTAATCTATAATTAATCATATTTAAAATTATTACTATCATCATTTACACAAGTAAAGCTTCAAATTTCAATTCTATCATATCCCAAAATTCTCATTTCCAAACATCTAAGCTTACCTATGGGTTTCTTAACTTCCATCTACCCTAACCAATAACATTAAATTCCTAGCTCATCATTAATGGTATTCAAACCTCTCCAACTACCTTATTTATTATGAAAATTTGGCTATCAATGCCTCTCTAACAACCAAAATGTGTAAACACATAAATCTTAAGTTTAAATACTTTGAATAATTCCCATTAACTCTATTTGAGTTAATGTGTTTGGACTCATAACTTATAAAGACTAAAAATCAACTCCCCTCAACAAACTCTAATAAAAAACTTAAGAAAACAGGTTAGGAAGGAAGAAGAAAGGGTTAAGAGATTTATTCTTGATATTTGATAGCTTCAAAATACCTCCAATCTTTTCAAAATTGAAGCCTTAGCAAAGCAAGTGTCGAGCTCTATATTTTTTCTTTCTCAACTCTTATATTATTCATCTTAAAATACACCTATTTCTATAGAAAGTAGACCATGCGTCATGGTTCATGTCACATGCGTCGTGACTTGTGGTGCATAAACTTTAGTTAACCTATTTGGTTAACAAATGTGATGTTGGATTTGAAATATTTAAAATATCACAAGTATGTTTTAAAAAGAAGAAGTTGATAATTTGACAAAATGATCGTGTTGTTGCATTAGTTGAGAACAATGCATGAATAAAATAGGTATGTGAATATGATATAAGTGCATGAGAATGAGGATGACAATTGTGTGAGATATATGGTGCTCACGTATGATAGCCTGGTATTATACATGTATCTGTGTTAAAATATGTAAGCATGATTCACTGTATGATCAGATTGGTGGGGGTTTGCCTTAGGAGAGGAGTGGATAAATCCACATGGTATGTTATGGCTGCCTTTCAATAAATGAATGCTAGCTTGTCTCACTATTTGTCATGAAACTCGAACCTAATCCATGGGAGTTTGCCTAGCTATCTTTACTGGTTTATCAAGAAGACAAGCTAAGGGTTTTACAACACCTCAAGGATTTTAGAATGGGAGAAGCTATAGTTTGAAAGTGAGTGTAGTGATCTTTGGCCCGATTACTCCTCATAATTAAAGAACTTGGGTATTCTATTTACACAGATGAAGCCTTATTTGAATTATAGTTTATAATTTCAGACAAAGAAAATAAGGAGGATATAAGGAGGAATCGATCATGCATATTATCCAATGTGTCATATGGTTATTAAGTTCATAGCAAGTTGTGATTATTGACATGCCATTATCATATGGTTGTCAGTATTGTGGCAATGAGCACTATTATGTGATTGGAAAGATGTGTGATGATATGTACATGTATGTGATATGAGAGAAACATGTTTATGTGGATATGCAATTACTTTCTCATTATATGTTTAAATGTCAATTGATATGCAATTGTATAGAATAGATGCACCTTAGTTATTAAGTGATTATACTCAACCCTCTCTTTTAACATTTTACAAGGTCTAATTGGGTATGGAAAGGGAAAAGCTCCGGAGGCTTAAGAGTATTGTTATTCCTATTGTAAAACCTCCCTACTAAATTTATTTTGTTTTATGTAATTAAACAATATTGTCAATTTTAGGAATGCATTTTGAGTATACTTACAGTATATGGATAGTTATGATTGATTGCTATTTTTTGGGCCTTAAAAATTGTGTATGTAAATTTGATTATTTCTTATAAGACCAAAATATTAATACAAGTATAGAAATGATATAAATGTTACTTATTTGCAAGAATATTGATTTAATGAAAAATTTTTGACCTCTCCCATTGTTTTGATATTGAGGGGTTGAGGTTTGAAAATAAATATTGGTTAATGTTTTGTGCATGTGGTGTGTTACACACGTAGTCCCAAGTCTATTAAGTACTTTCTAAGTGCTAATTTTTGGCACTTGTATGTGAGTTTTAGACACCCTTTGAGTTGAGGAAAGTTTAAAAAGTAGTAGAATTGTGTTTAAATGTTCAACTCCTTTGTGTGAAATCTTTCAGGAGGAAAATCCATGCCATTAATTAGATTATGAAGAGAGCTTTATGTAGATATATAGATCATCTCAATTAGATGTTGAATAAAGAAATATGGCGTGTCAAAAATTTACCCTGTCAAACTATACAATGCACCGTGACACATGACACAACATAGAGTGTGCCGTGGCACACAAAGTGTATGCCGCTATGCATCCCCATTGTCTACAATGCTGTCTTGTTTTCAATAAAAATTTCAGTTGCTTTAAATCATTTTCGATATCCTATGCTTCCGTATTTATATTTTACTCTGATTCTAGTTTACAAAATGATATTCATGTATTCCTTTAAGTTTGAAAACTTGAGATCTCATTTATGCAAATATTGAAAACTTGATAATCCAATTGGGTTAATCAGATTATGACCTTGGTTTCAGTGTTAATTGTAGATTAATAAGGGCGGCCTTACAATAATAAAATTATTATTTATAAAAATATTATATAAAATAAAATTTAATATTTGGACATATTATATATATAATAATTTCTATAATATATTATTGATTGAATAAAAACATAATTACAAATTATTTTATCCAATACTAACCAAAAATTATTTTATTTAATTTATATCTTTATTTATTAAATTATTAAATATAAAATAATCTTAAAATTTTAAAACTATAACCAAATACAAGGAATTTAATTGAAAATTTAGAATTAGAATTTTTCTAATAGAATTAAATATATTGCTTATTTAACAAAAGTTCATGATCAAAATATAATTACACTACGAATATAAAATCTTGAAATTGGTGAGTGAATTTGAAAATGAAATTTTCTTTGCAAAATCTGTGTATATTGAAAAAAAAATTTGGAAATAAAAATATATAGATCCTACATGTTATTTTTTTCCTAATTTTCTCTCCATAGTCAAACAGAGAAAATTGCTATATTTTTTTCACTTTTTTCTATCCCTTAATTTTCTTTCCTGCTAAGCACAACATTAGATTAGATTGGGTTAGTTCTGTCTTTTGGGTCCGTTTGTTTTTTGTTTTTGTTGTCTTGCTTAGCGTTTTATACCCAGGGCCCATATATGATGGTTTTCCCAAAGATTATTTTGTGTGGGTTGTATACATTATGGGTGAGCGTTCTAGACCCAGATGATTCAATAAGAAGTTTTTTTAGGGATAACATAACTTTCGTTCTTCAAATTTATTTCAACTATCAAATTAATCTCTTAAATTTAATTTTAATTCATTTGGTCTCCTAAATTTTTTAAATTATTATGTTAGTCCTTTAAATTTTAAAATACAAATTAACCATTAAATTAATCTAATGTGTAATGTATATTGATGACTTGAAATATATATGCAGCTAAATGAGAACAAATTAGCTCTCAAATCAATTTGATTTTTATGAATCTAATCCATTATATTCCAATTTGTTCTTTGTTTCTAAAAATTTGTGAGTATATTTTTTCCTACATAAATAATTACACTTTTTTCATTAATCTATATTGTTACCATCAACATTCCCTTATCAATGTTTCTAAAATTTAATCGTGTTATTTCCTCTCTAAATAATAAGGATTTAATTAATAACTGAGGCAAATGTAAGGAACTAATCGATAAAAATTAAACTTGAGAGAAATTTGATAAACTAAAAAGTTTGTTATATTGTTTTTATTGTTTTTGTCCACTTTCCTATAATACTCACAAGATTTTAAAGAAAAAAGAATGCTGCGCAACTGAACATTTAGAGCATTTCTTGTCAACGATACCCGTGAGAATCCCTCAAAGAGGGCTGATCAAGTGAAGATTTGAATTAATATGAAGTGAATTGGATAGGTAACAAACCTAACATGCTTAAATGTTTCAAGATATTAAGTGGCAAGGGGAAAAAACCAAAAAGAAAGGGGAAAAAAAAAGTCTACATGAAAAAAATTAATTTATAAAATTAAGTGTATTTAATAATCTGACACATGATCACGAACCATCGGAGGAGACTGGGTCAAAGTCTGTCACTCTTGACGCCATCAGCCTCAATCAATCAGATGTCCACTCAACGTGATCATGTGAGGGTCCGGTCGGGACAACAGCGGACTAAAAGCACACATTCACACTGGTAAGAAAAAAAGAAAGGAGCGATGCGATATGTTGTGAGCTAAATTGAACTACAGAGCAAAATCATTGGCCCCAAAAGCTTTGGAAACCTTTGGAAAACGAGTAAAAAATGGAAAACTGCCAATTATCTTGTGTAATGAAAACTTATGACCAGTGCGTAAAATGTTTCAATTTTCATAAATTTCATAATATAAAAGAAAAGAAATTACGGGTTGGAGGGAAGCGAGTAACGGAGTCAATCCACGTCCACGTCTCCACTGCGTCCATGATTTGGATGCTTGTGAAGAAAATTAAGAGGCCGTCGCTACAGTCTTTTCCTTCATCCTTGGGCGTCGACTTTACAGAGGAAGCTTCGCGAACTCGATCGAATGATCAGGATTTATTATGCGAGCGCAGAGGATCTATTCTCTAGCAAAGCTTAGCCTTTCACGCGTTCTGCATTTAATCCTTTTTTTTCTCCTGTTGTTTTTGTTTTTTCAACTTATTGTAATTTGAACGTGTGAGTATATTAACGAAGTTTATATCTACCGCGGTCGTAGTTAAATCTTTGGGAGAATTTTAATTAAAAACTATAAACATAATTTAATTATTAAAGAGTCCCAAAATGTGAATTTTATTTTAATTCATAAGGATTGAAGTGAAAATAATTTTAATGATAAAAAAATTAAAATACCCTTCACTTGTTAATTTTCTTCTAAATGCAAAATCATTGATTATTAATTTTCTTTCTTTACTTGTTAATTTATTAATATGAGTTATACATTATATAAATTGATTTATCAATAATTATACAAGATTTAAATATCTATTGTTCAAACACAAACAACAATATCAGTTGTTAAATTATTAAATTTACTTGTTAATTTATTTATTTGTAAATTACAATCAATATTAGTAAATTAATAAGTAAAAATAGCAAATTAAAAATTGATGTTTTACAACGTATATTGGTAAATTGACAAGTGAAGTAACAACTAATAATTTTACATTTTGGACAAAATTAATAAGTGAAAGATATTTTAATTTTTTTACTAATAAAATTATTTTACTTCAGTCCTCTTAGAATGAACTGAAATTTTAAAATTTTTTAAAACTTATTAATAATTAAGTTACATCAATAGTCTTTGATTGAAATTCTCCCTAAATCTTCATAGGCATATTTAAAAATATAAGAATATTGAAAAAGGATGAAATTATAAAAACTTAAAGTAGTGAAAGAATACAAAAAAATCTAGTAATGAAATATGCTAAAATATATACATACATATATATATATATATATGTGGATAGATAGATAGATCAACAATTGTATTTTTCAATAATTGAGCGCATATGTAAGCAGTATGAGATTACATATATGAAGGGCGATGGTGGTGGTGGAATCCAAGCATTTCGGGCATAAAGTGTTTGCATCATTTTTGAAGGGGAGACCACCTTTAATTTCTACTCCCGAAAAAATTGATTGGATCATTAAATTTTATATATATATATATATATATAACCGCCTTGAAGTTTAGATTGTGCGTAGATAATTGACCTCGTCCCCAACATCTGGAACATGACTATAAACCGCACTTAAATTATATACTATTTACCTTATTGTCTAGCATTAATTTGTAGACTATGACGTGGCAGGAATCAGTTGGGAGTCCATGGCTCGGATGCGCGTGAAGAAAAGTAAGAGGCCGTCCCCACAAGCTTCGTCCTCCATCTGTGCGCGTCATTACATGATTACAAATGAAGCTTCGTGTACTCGAATGATCAGGGATTTAAACGCGCGCGCTGAGATTGTTATTTGACGATCTTAGCTAGCTTTACTTCCCGAATACTCTCTCTAAAAATCCTCCTTATATCCATCAGAGATGGGTTTCAATAGTGCACTACTTTTCAAACTGGTACTGCCATTCTGCACGGTTGCCGCCGCCGCGGCGGTGGCTGCAACCAAACCGGGTTGCAGCAGCTCGTGCGGGAACGTGAGCATCCCCTATCCCTTTGGAACCAGCGAGAACTGCTACATAGACGAAAGGTTCTTCATCAACTGCACAACAATCACGTCCTCATCGGGACAACCAAAAGCGTACCTGAGAGGCGGCGACGTACAAGTCCTCGACATCTCACTGGATATCGGTGAATTAACTGTCTTGGCAGACGTTTCCAAGCATTGCTATGATTATACATATCTACCATGGAACTCCATTGAGTTCGAAAAGTTCACTATATCCAACACGAAGAACATATTCACGGTGGTGGGCTGTGACACCGTCGCTTCCATCAGAGACTTGACAGGGAGCGGCTTTCAAACAGGCTGCATGTTGAGGTGCAATAACGAGAATTTTGAGGTTGAAGATGGATCGTGTTCTGGTGTGGGTTGCTGCCAGACCAGTTTCCCCAAAGCCATCTGGAACTACAATATCAGCCTCAGTAGTTTTAACAACTACAAGGACGTGAGGGACTTTAACCCCTGTGGCTACGCGTTTGTTGCCAAGAACGGATCCTTCAACTTCTCCTATCAACAACTCCTCAATCTAAGCGGCACGACTGAGTTTCCCGTCGTTATGGATTGGGCTGTTGAGGATCAGACATGCGATGAAGCCAAGAAAAATACAAGCAGATCATTTGCCTGCAAGCAGAACAGTAGATGCCAAGATTCAATAAGTGGCGCTGGCTACCTCTGTTTCTGTGAAGATGGGTTCCAAGGTAACCCCTACATGTCTGACCCCGATTCAGGTTGCAAAGGTCAGTTTGTTTTTAACTTTCAACCAAGTTTAATTTGTTTATATGTTTAGGTTCTGTGTGCGCGCGTGTGAGAGAGACCACACCCTAAGAAATATAGATATGACATCCAGTACAAGATTTTGATTTTGCAGATATTGATGAGTGCGAGGGAGAGAATCGGTGCAGTAGGAGATGCCACAACGTGGAAGGCAATTATACGTGTTCTTGTCCGCCGGGATACAGAGGCGACGGCTATAGAGACGGCACAGGCTGCGAGTTCCCTGTCATGCAAATTTCATTAGGTCAGAATATAGCACACCTCGACTTTTGACTCACCTTATAGCCGCCTTTTTTAACTTATTTCTGCTGGGGCTCGCATGTATCCATACATACATATATAAATGCCTACTCTATTATAATGTCATATTAAGTGATCTTTTACTGTTAAATTACGTGAACAAATTAAATGGAAGGAGGCGATTGATTTGGATTTAAAATTAAAGTAGCTTATCATCTATCATTTGTTGAATTTAATAAAGGTTGCAGATATATTAACAATTTTGGCATCATATTTTAACAATAGAGAAAGGGGTGAGTCGGCCCCCGTGGCGAGATGGGCCCACCTCCCTATCTCTCTATCCCTGGGACTCTCCTATAGCAAGAGAAAATTAAGTCTATTGGGGGATCAATGATGACATAGGAAGTAAACAGAACTCTAGCGTTCAAAACAATGGTTCATTATATTGATTAGCAAAACTGGTAGCTAGTCTCTATGTACTATTGGAGAATGCATGTTTTATATAATATTTTAAACATCATTGTTTGCAGGCATTTCTATAGCCTTACTTGTTGTCTTTACACTAGTCTCCACACTATGTTGGGGACACAAGCAAAGAGCACTTATACAACTTAGGAGAAGATACTTTGAGCAAAATGGGGGAAATATGCTACAACGGCTTCACCAACAACAAGGATACACCGATAGAACCAAGATATTTACTGAAGAGGAGCTTAAAAATGTCACGAACAACTTTGATGAAAGCAAGATCCTTGGTCGTGGAGGACAAGGCACAATTTACAAAGGCATATTACCAGATAGCACACCTGTTGCCATTAAAAAATCCAAAATAGGAGGAGGTCCTGGACAAATTAAGGATTTTATAAATGAAGTGGCTGTGCTTTCCCAAATCAATCATAGAAATGTGGTTAAACTTCTTGGGTGTGTCTTGAAACGGAAGTTCCTTTGTTAGTTTATGAATTTGTGGACAATGGCACCCTTCTTTCCCATATAGACCCACTAAAGAATGAGCACTCTCTTTTGTGGGAGACTCGATTAAGAATAGTTGCAGAAACAGCTGAGGCCATTTCATATTTACATTCTGCTGCTTCTATTCCAATTATTCATCGAGATATTAAATCTGCTAACATATTATTAGATCATGATTATAGAGCAAAAGTTTTTGACTTTGGGGCTTCAAGACTTGTTCCACTTGATGAAGTTCAAGTTACTACTATGGTTCAAGGAACACTAGGATATCTAGATCCAGAATACCTTCTTACAGGTCTGTTGAATGAAAAAAGTGATGTTTATAGCTTTGGGGTCGTGCTTGTAGAGTTACTCACTGGGAATAAAGCTGTTGAATTCAGTAGGCCAAAACAGAGAAATTTGGCAATGTACTTCATGGCCTCAATGAAAGAAGACAAGTTATGGGAGATTCTTGACAAGCGAGTGTTAGATCAGAAGAATGCAGAACAACTAAAGGAAGTTGCTTTCTTAGCAAGGAGGTGCATTAGAGTTAATGCAGAGGAAAGGCCAACTATGAAAGAAGTAGCGATGGAATTAGAAGGTTTGATTGCCATGGAAAAGCATCCTTGGGTAAAGGGCAAGGATATGGTGTCAGAAGAATGTGAATACTTGCTTGATCATATAGCTTATGGATTTGGGAATGCTAGCGCTAGCAATTCAGCTGGCTATGATACCATACAAAAACAAATAGCATTTGAGATTGAAGATGGACGGTGATCATTTCATGTTAGTATGTCACAGCTGTTTGAGCTACTCTTTCCACTCTTGTAAACAGAACAACCTCCACTTTTTTTGTTTCTCTTTTACTTTATTATTAGTAATTACTTCAAATATATACAATGTCTTAATACTGGACCTTCAGATGGAGAAACTTGATATAACAGTGCAGAAAAAAATAGTGAATATAAAATACCTCAAATGTTAGTGAGAATTAGAAAAAAACATGCCCAATAAAAATACAAGATCTTACACTGCTGTCATATTTAACAAAGCCACCCGAATACTTTAAGTGCAAGATTATTTTGCATCATAATAAATTAGATTTTTTTCCATGATCTAACAGTTCTCGTGAGTAAAGATTGGGAATGAGAAATTACATATCAAAAGTAGCACTAACAAGGCTAAAGGCTATCTTTCATTTAAATTTCTAAAATTATTCTGCAAGACAAAGTATGACGTAGCAATAACCTGGAAAGACGCATGAGCTAGGAAGGAGAGAAAAATTCTTCAACTATAAAATAAGAATATATTCTCATTTAATTTTCTATATGCATGCGGTTACAAAATAAATAAAAATAATCAGACCTTGAATTTTTGCCAACTTATCACATTGTCTTAATGTCCAGATAGGCAACTTGAATACAAAATTCTAATTAAAGCTATAATATTCAAAAAGATATTTGAAGTCCTGAACTTTAATATGGATGCCAATGGATAACAACATACTAAAACACTCATGATTCAATATTGTCCAACATAATATACTGAAGACAATGAAAGTAAAATGAACATGATATTTAGAAGTTAAAAAATTACATTCTTTTTTTATAAAAATAAAAGTCATTGAATGATAATTATTCGAGCATAACAAACATTATAAACAAGAGAGCCTTGATAACAATTATATTCTCTGAAGTTCAATTAAAGATTCTGGGACCTGGGGCTGATGTCCTCTGGCAGAGTTAGTAATCCTTTTTTTTGCCAGATTTGCTACAAACTTCTGATGTGCGTGCAATGCATATAGGTAAGGGCATTTGGAATAAATAAAAGGAAAAACTATATCTAAGGACTAACACATGACAAAAGTTAAATTAAGGTCATGTTTGGTAGGAAAGAATCATTTTTAAGAGAAGGGAAAGAGGAGGGGGAGACAAAAGGTTTTCATGAAAGTCTTTTGGGACAATGGCATTCAAGGCCCTCTTAAAGAAATTTATTGTAATAAGGGCTCATAAATTTTACATCAGATATTGTCAATAACATATATGTGTTTTCATAAAATAATATCTGATGCAAAATTTATGGGCCCTTATTATGATAAATTCCCCTCAGATGGCCTTAAATGTCATTCTCTCGAGCTTTTTTTACAAGTCAAAAATGTGTTTAATAGAAATGGAAAAGATATAGTTATATTGTTTATCATGAAGGCATGAAAAACTAGAAAGGAAAAAATTAGAGAGAATATCATTAAAAGATCCTTAAAAGAATTTAATGTTTGACAAAAACTTCTAACAAGTAAACATTTACAATTAACAAGTAAAGTTTAAATTTTAATAAGTATCAAATATGTCAAAATTTTTGTTAGATATTAAATTCTTTTAAAAGTCCTTTATTGGTATTCTCCTGCAAAATAATTGCGCACACAAAAATGTTATTCAAACAAAATCATTGGATGGATCTGGAGAAGAATAAAGGCATTAATTCCACAAGCTTCATGGCTTCAAACCTCGAGCATCACACACAAATGAGTTTAGGAACAGCAGCGCGAAGGGTCTTCGTCTGAATTTGACAAATCTGGAGAGAAGGCAACATGTTCTTGAGCAAAGGCTTTATCTGGGATGAACTGGTGGCATTGAACACAATCCCCAACGGCTTCACTCCTTTAGCAACTAGATGTAACAATAGAAGGGTTTTTCAAGGGTTCAACAAAGGGTGATGTGGTTAGTATAATTGATAACTCAGAAGAAATGAGGATAAATTTTAGATTCAATGAAAGAAACTCAGTTCCATAGTGCGAACACCGTATTTTGCCGGGATATTTTTTTAAATTTAATAAAATAATAATAATAAATAACTAAAAAATATAAAAATAAAATTTAATCTTTTTTAGGATTATATTTTCAAAACAAAAAAATTTAATTGATAGGATTTAATTTTATTTTAGATAATCTTTTATTGGCTAGGATTTTAGTTCTTTTAGTTCAAAAAAAAACAAAAAATATATAAAAATATGAAAAATTTTAATCCTTTTTATGGTTATATTTTCAAAAAATATTTGTCCCTTGAACCAATTTCAGAAATTAATAAACATGATCAAAAATCAAAAAGAAAAGAATTATAGTTTTTTTAAAAAAATAATAATATTCCAAAATATCTCCACTCTCGGTCAGACATGGACGAGAGAAGGAAAAACAGAAGAAGCATAGGCATTCACTAGAAAAATTGAGACACACACGAAAAAACACAGAGTAGGGTAGCCATGCAAAGACATACACTCACGCAAACACAGCCAGTAGAACACACGAACACATAAAGAAACCTGAGCTGCAGACGCCGAAAGAACCAGAGGCACTCTATTAAGCACAGTACACAGAAACCAGAAGGAACACATGAACACAGCAATGCAGAGAGAGACAACAGACATGAAACACAGAAGAAGCAGAAACACGAAATCACAGATTGCAAAAAAAGCTTCATAGAAAAAAACACAGCAAGCAACCAGATACACTTTCTGCCAACAGAAGGAAAACAGAGCCAGAGAAGTAAAAGCTGGATATGCACATTACAGTACATGAAAAAAGCAGAAAAAGTGCACACAAAACACAAAAGGAGAGAGCAGCAAGCACACATGAAAACACAGTGACAGAAAAGCAAAACACATAGCCACGCATGCACGGGAAGAACGCTAGAAAAACAGAGCAAAGAAAAAAAGGAGAGAAAAGCTGGAGAGAAGAGATGGAGAGAAAAACTAGAACTGGAGAGAGAAACCAGACAGAAAAAAAGAATAAAAAACAGAGCATAAAAGACAAAGAGGGAGCAGTGACCAAAGGAGGAAATGGGAGAAGCTTGAACAGAGCATAAAGAAGGAGCAGAAAAAAGGGAAGAGAAAGAAGAAGAGAAAAACGAGAAGGAGACCGAAAGAACACAAAGAAAGATGGACGAGAAATAGGGGAGAAAACCGAGAAGGAGACTGAGAGAACACAAAGAAAGCTAGACGAGAAAAATGAAAAAAAAACAAAGCTCTACCTCTGGCTTCTTTCCAAGCCTCAATCCTCTTCCACATTCGCATCAGCCTCCTCTATTCCTCTACTGTCATCTCCAAAGTCCAAAAGGATCAGCACGTACATTCGGCATATGAGGACTACCTGGAGCTCCTTGAGGATTCCGTCAACGTGATCCATCTCTCCCTCATTTCAGTCGTGCCATCCCCACTCAAAGGCTGCAATGGGGCTACCAATGATGTGTTCACATGTCTCAGCATTACCTTGTTGGATCAAGACAAAGGTAGTGAAGGTTATGCGGGGAGGTAACGGTTAAAAGGTATGGTTTGATTGAATAATATTGTTCTCTTTTCTCCTTTTCTTTCCAATATCGTATGCATGGAGGACATAAGTTTGCATGACTTCTTAACTAGTTATTTATAAAATATTTTGTATAATTTTGTGTCTTTTAATAATTTAAAGGTACAGTTCTATTCAAGTTTTGAGATTCTTGACACTTGAAAATTAATTATCAAGTTCGTCTACTAATTTTGAAAATTTAATGAGTTCTTCATCTTACGATTTTGGTGTCTGCAAAATAGACTCGTGATAGTTTGTATTATATGATATCCAAGGGGTTTAATCTAGGTATGTTTAGTTTTGCACGTTTGATTCCCAAATTGCCTTTCAACCTTTTATTACTATATGTAACGTGTGATGGCATGGGTTGATTCTTATATTAATCTTTGTTCATTTGTGGAAATTTATTCATGCATAATACTTCACGGTATTTTCTATTTCTATATGTTGTTATGATTTCCTTATAAGAGGTTAAAGTATAAAAAGAAAAGAGAGAGAGAGAGAGGGAGATACACACACACACACACCCCTATTTATGGTTTATTTGTCGTGTGAGATTTTAAGAATCTCCGTAAACATTTAGAAGATTTTGTACCGTGTAAATCAATAAGATTTCACAGGTATAAAGATCAAGATTTTTATATTAAAAATATGTGTTATATAATTACGCATTAAAATATATTCAAAGTGAATATTATTTAATATTTTTATCATATGAGACCTTGTATCTCTGCAGATATTTAGAATAATCTTATATCATGTAAATCAATAAGGTTTCACAGATATGAGAGTAAAACTTATATGTTAATATGGATTTAAAGGGCCCATCATTAAATTTAACTTTCTTTTTTTATAACCCAGATTAATAATTTATTTAAGTATCATGTGAGATTTCAAAAATCTTCATAAAGATTTAAATTAATCACATCATCATGAGGATAATAAGTCCTCGCAGATGTAGTGATTACTGATTTTTATAATAAATAAATAATTTTTGTAAATAATCATGTAATACACAATTTAGAAAAATTAATTAATCAAATTAATAAATTTAAGTTGTAATCACATTTACTAATTATATCTTTCAGTCATGTGAGATTTTTAAATTTTTGTAGACTTTTAAGATAATTGTATTATCGTATGAGTCAATAAGACTCTGCAGATATAACAATTAAGTTTTTAAAATATATATATATATATATAAATTATATATTAAATTAATTAAATTAAAGACATATTTAAATTTAATTCCTTTATCGTGTGAGATTTTGGAATCTCCGCAGATATTTAGGATAATCATATTACTGTATAAGTCAATAAGGCTTTGCAGGTATGATGATTAAGAACCTTTAAAACATGTATATACACACTTAAAATATATTTTTAACACTTAAAATATACATAAGAATATAAAATAAATTAAATTGTCAAATTCTTTTATCGTGTGAGATTTCAGAATCTCCACAGATATTTAGAACAACTGCATTACCGTATGAACCAATAAGGCTCTGCAGGTATAACAGTTAAATTCCCAATCATAAAATATAAAAGAAAAATAATTTTAAACTCTTTTCTTTCTTTATTCCAAAAATTCAAAAATTGAGAAAATAATTAAAATTAAATTACTTTTTGCAATTTAAAACACACATATCAAAGTTTAA